CCCCCCGGTCCATTGTCAGGCTGAAGCGCGGTTTTGGCTGTTCTCTGTTCGGGTAACCCTCGCAGCAGCACTTCCTGCTCTCCGAGACCTCTGCTGGGGTGGGGAAGGTGGTGGTGGTGTGTCCGTGGCAGCCTTTTGCTGGAGACGCCTGCTTACAAATCATAATGAACCATAATTAACTTGTCCTCACAACTAATCACAAATACTAGTGCCTACGCATAGTGCTGCTGGCTCTTCTTGCTCTCTCTGCTGATGGCATAGCCGTGCCTGCCATGGGCTTTGTTACCAGCTTAGGAATGGAATTTGTCCACTGTTTAAAAAAAAAAAAAAACCCAAAAAACACCTTTGGGATTTACCATGCATTGCAAAATTTTCCTGGTGAATGGCTTATATGGTGAAGAGTTTGTGAAGTCTTTGAACGCACTGAGTGGGTACCTCCAGCGTAAAATTTACCCCCCTGTGATACCATTCAAGTGATATCTCTGAGGGGAGATTCCGACCGGCTGTGGTCATCCTGAGACTCAGCTGGTGGCATGTGAGAGCTAGGATCTGTTCAGGCTTTTCCCAGCTTATCCATTGGCAGAGACTGTCCCAACAGCATCTCCTGCTGTTGTGCAACATGGGAAATTTTTTATATTTGCCATTTGTAGACTTTCTAGTAGATATACAGACACTGTTAGGATATTTGCATGAGCGGGTGGCAGTGAGGAATACCTGAGCTTGCTTTTCTCAGCTAGCTTTTATGGATCCTTTAGACGTAGTCCATGATCTGACAGGAAATTACAGAGCAGAGCTTAAAAACCACCTTATTACAAAGAAACAAAAATTCCTAAACATACAGGGTGAAACACAGAGTCTTGTCCTTGTAGTCCACGTTACAGGCAAAGGAAAATATCTTCTGTTGCATGGGGTCTGCTTTGCTTTCACTAAGCAGGGCAGCGCTGTCTCTCTGCCGTAACCCTTGTTTGGGCTCAAAAGTCATAGAAATGATCATACCGCTGCCTGGGGTTACACAGCCCGGTGGCAAGAGAGTTCCATTAGAGCAGTCGCATGGCCACCAAAGAGAGCTGTGTGAGAAAGCAAATGCAGGGAACACCTCCGCATACCCCTGCTAAAGACGATGGAGCATGGCTTCATGCTTCAGTGCAGTGAAGAAGAGGAGGCCTGGGGGAGTCTTTCCTATTGCACTGAGATTAAAACATGATGTAGAGGCTAAGCCAGAGCAGCCACAGCAAAGTAGGCTGAGAAGATGCTTCTGGCAGCTGGTGATGCTGGAGACACCTCCACGCCTTGCTAGCTGGTGGAGACAAGCTGCGAGGAGGCTTTGACCCCACGTTGGGCTGTAGATGGTCAATGCCGGCGGCGGGATGGGTAGCAACGTAACGGGATGGTTTCTGCAGGGTCCGTGGCACCGGTGACAAGGCTTTTGTTCTCTGTGGGGCCGAGGAGGCCTGGTGTGGGTAGAAAGGTGGGTGCAAGGCTATATGCGCTCTCACTGCATACAGGAACACTGGGAGCTGTGAACGTGGGTGGTGACAGGATGGCCCTCACATCCTAGCGGTGCTGAGAATGGCTGATTTGTGTGGACAGGGGGGAGCAAGAGTGAAGAGACCTTTGCTTTGCAGCGACAGCACCAGAGAAAGCCACAAGATGGACATATGCTCTTAAACAGTTTTGCTAAGGCTTGGAGCACCCTCTTCCCAGCCCTGGCCCCCGTACAGCTCTGTCAACAAACCTCAGTCCTGGCTTGAGTCACCCCGTGCTAACTCCCTTGCTGGGACTTCTTCCTCCCTCCCTGTGCCAGCCTTTCCAACCCCCCCATCCCAAACCCACTGCACTTCCCCTTACTCGCATCGATGCCATCCCATGGCACAGCGTGCATTCTGCACTTGCATTTTAAGTGCAACCAGCTATTCTTCCGGAGGTGACAACCCTTGTCAGCCATATGTCATGCTAGGTGACAGGCAGAGACTGCCAAACTTGGGACATCTGTGATTTTCTCCCCTCCTCCCTTCCACCCTGCCAGCCCTGACACTTTCCGCCTGGCTGAGGGATATCCAGAAAAGAGCTGACACTGGTTAGACACGAGAATATTGTCTTCAGTACAGCTGTGCCTCTTTCTGCTCCTGGGTCTTTACCTTCCCACACTGTCCCCTCCAGGGGAAGGTAAACTGACAGCTTCTCAACCCGACACAAAAGCACATTGATAAGGAGGAGGTGTGAGAGCTGGGACAGGGAGAGGGAGGAAACAGCCTGAAGTAGAGGAAGATTCAAGTACTCGGAGAAATGAAGGAGAGACAGAAAGGGTCAAGGGCAGAGAAGGAAAGAAAGGAAGAAAGGAAGAAAGCTGTGGAGGGCTAAAAGGGAATGAGGACAAAAACACAGGAGAGGAGGACATGAAAGCTGGGAGGGCAGTAGGAGGGCGAAGGAGCAGCACAGGCTGAGGCTGCTGGAGTAACATATGCAGCCGTTTCAGTGAGGAGGAGGTATCTGTTGTGTTCCCACCACCAGTGGAGACCCAGGGAGACACTCCAGCCCAGTGCTTCTCAACCCATGGCTTTTTGCACTCCAAGATCCTGAAGGCCCTGTGCCGAGCGGAGCTTTCCCTAGGGGAGCCCCCTGGCAGGGACTCCCTTTGGCACTGTCTTCCCTGTGCTCCCATGGCAGAGGAGCCATGTTGTGAGGGAAAGATTTGGCCAGGACCGGCTCAGTGCTGGTAGAGAGAGACCACTGCAAAGGGGGATGAGGTGGGGTGACCTCAGGACAGCTTGGTCTGATTTGCACAGGATCAAAAGCCTGTGACACAAGCATGGCTTTTGACCTTAGCGCTGGGCAAGGCAAATGTACCCTCTGCAGCAGGAAAATGTTCTTTCCTCTGGGTTTTGCTTCTTTTGGAAAATATAGCTATTTTCCCCAAGTGTTTTGGTGCTTCTCAAATAGATGCTACAGCCCAAGAATTCTGTCTCCTCCCACCCGTCACTTCCCCTGAATCGCAAAACATGTCAGTCTGTCACTTCTCCCATCTATCCACTTCCAAGCTGCCATTTCCCCTCGGCAAGCCACAGCAAGAAATGGGGATAAAATGCTGGGCCACCATGCCCTCAGACCAACCAGCTGCCTTCCCACCCACCGAGAACCCAAGAGAAAGCTCTGCTGCCATCTCTTGAGGACACTGCGTGTACTGACTCCATCATCCCTCCTGGAGTCTCTCCTTGCCATATCTCCAAGTGATTAAAACAGAACCACAGCATGCCCCACACCTCCCACCTCCAAAGCCCTCCTACCCCCAGAAATCCTTCCCCCCATCCCTATTTTGCCCAGGGAAGACACACAGCTGAGACACAGAAATGAGAGAAAGGAAGATGACGGACAGTCCGCTGTGCAAAAAACAAAACTGAGAATGAGGACACTCTGGGAAGGATGGGAGAGATACCTTTGGTCCCTCTCTGGCACATAGGTAGGTGCACGCACACATGCACACACTCACGCTCACATCCTTTCACGCACACAGAGGATGCACCACACACTTCAGAGACAGGCCCATGGCAGAGTCAAGGGTAGCAGGGGTGGGTTGTCGTATCCAGAGACACTGGGTGACAGCGGGAGGTGGGGTGTATCATTCACAGGTTACTTTCGTGGTTTTCCTCTGTCTCGACAGTCATGGGTGGCAGCCCTCCATTGTCATTCAGCCTCTTGGCCCTGTAGGTCTCATAGTGGATGTTGTGGGTCACTTCTTTTAGGTCCTGAAGGTGGGTCCTGTGGAGGGCAAAGTGAAGATGGGGTTGGAAAGAAGATAGAGTAACCAATATCAGCACAGTCAGTATTAATCTTCTGATGATCATTTTTATTCCCTGACATAAATGGAAGATTTCTTCAGTCAGTCTGGCTAATGAGTGTACCCTCTTTCTGCACAGATGGCATGGGTGCCATCATACACACTGAGAGCTGGCGCATCAGCATTTAAGAACACATACGCAAGATGCAGGATATGGGCTGAAATCCCTGGCTGTGCTTGCCAGTGTCCTGCCCCTCTCACACCTGTGCCAGTGGGACAGCTACTGGCCGTCCTGGCATGTCAGAGCAGACATGGGCTTATCTCATTTGAAGCGCTGGTGAGACAAGGAAGCGCCAGGAGGCTGTATCAGGTCCACTGCAGACCATAACCTGCAGAACACTGCTGTGAGTGTTGTCCCAACCTCCATAGAAAGCCTGTAGGCTTGGATTGCTGTGTGTTTTGTGATGGTCACTTGGTTAGGATGTTCGTACTGGAAGACTTACAGAAAGCACGTCTGCTGCAGAAGGTATCACAGAACAAAAAGCGGGCAATAGGGTGATGTCAAAGCATTGTACCTGGCCAAGTGTCTCAATATCACCATACCCACAGGTGGAATGAGTCACAGGGCTCTGGTCTTGAAGCGTGTTTTGCTTATTTTCTTATATTGGTGTTGTTTTAAAACCTTATTGTGTTTATAGGGAACAAAGGTGACCCTGGATCTGCAGCTCTTCTACAGGATTCAGGGCAGATATAACTTGTGCTGAGACACTTTCATGATACAGAGTAGAAATAAGGCAGGACAATGAAAGCTGAATTAAATATGGAGCTTTTCACTTCCAGGTCATATGTTCCAGCCCATCCCTCAGCCTGGAAGGACACATGGTCTGGGATACAGTAGTGGCCTCTTTCTCACTGACTCCAGCCCAGACCTATTGTCAGCAACAAATAGAACTTGTTGCAGCTTAATATCCTTAATGGGATATAAGGGGGGTGGTAGTACCCCGCTTTTCTCCAGATGTGCAGCTCATACATGAAAACTAGCTCCTACTTGACATAGTGGTCATGTCACTAAGAGAGTCACTAGAGTATCTACCCCTTAACTCAGTCCAACCCTACCCCACATAAACTTTCACTGCCTAAATTGTACTTCTTTTTTTTTCCTTTCCATAGTGGCTATTTCACTTTAGGAGGGTCTCAGGAAGACTCCCTGCTCGTCAAGAGCAAACTAGCGCATGACCATGGCCTTACCTGATGACAAAATCTCGAAGTAGGGCAAATTCACAGTGAGTGAGGTTTTCCACTGAAAAGAAAGCAAGCCATTGTTACGTTTGATATTTTTCAACAACCCCTTTGTGGTTACAGAGCATGGGAAGGTTATTGCTGTGGGGCATGTTGCAGGTGGGCAGAGCCTGCACAGTTCAGAAAGGACAGAGAGTTGTGCAAACACCACAGTGTCAGACACTGAGCAGACACACTGCCAGGTGCTGAGTGATCACATGTGAGCTTTCATTTGAAAACCAAGGCAGTCTTGGGAGCTCAGCTTCACACACCATGGTGTTCGGAGTGGCTCCAGCTTCTGCAAATTGGCAGTAGTGGTACTGCATTGACCATGGCAGTTCCCTCCAGGCAGATCTATTTGAGAATTCTCCTCTTGCTTGGTTTCAAAAAGTTTATTGCAAAAGGGATGGGAAGGTAGCCATGGGACATGTTACCTGGACCCTTGTCTATTTCTGGGGTCTGCAGAGATACTTTCAGCTCCCAGAAGCAAGGGTTTTTTACCTTCAATGATTCCCCATGGTGTTTTCCTGCCCAGGACTCTTTTGCCGTTCACTTGGTACTCCTTGTCGCTGCCCACTACTGCGAAGGGCATGCTTTCCTGCTGGGGAGAGACATGTGGAGAGATCTATTGAACCCATTCCAGAGAGCAGCACTATCACTGTTCCCCATCCACCTTTCCTCCTCTCAGCTCACCAAACAGAAGGCCTCACCAAGGGAAGAGGTTCTCCAGAGCAACATTTCACTGGCTGACCTCTTCACCTATCAGTGCTATCCTTAGCATTTTGGGCTCTTGCTTTACAGGTGTCCTTGCACCTCCCAAGCTTAGTGGGTAGCTTGCAGCAGTGCCAAGCGCTCTGGAGAGAGGGGCAGAGCTTTTCTGCAGCCATCTTCAGCATTTCTGAAGAGGGGAAGTACCTTGGCGTAATCAGGAGAGGGTCTGTCAGCACAGGCTGCCCATATGGATAGTTTGCAGTGAGTATTCCACAGAAAGTTTGTAGTCCTTCACCAGAAGAAGGAGAGGACTCAAAATAATCCTCCCCATCAAGACACATGAACATTCAAGAAGTTTAATGGCTGCAGTGGTTGTACTGAGGAAGGCCAGAAATGGGGTAGGGGTGCAGCTTTCCTGGGAAGTAGGACAGTAGGTGAAGCTGTTGGGGACCCAGATATCTCTAAGCACAGGGAGAAACCATTCATTTCCAGAGCATAGGATGCAGGAGACCCTGCTATCCATAAGGTTGTGCAGTTGTTCATAAATTTACTCTGCTTTATAGATGACCCTGATCCTGGGAAGGGACTGCAGTTACCAGACAATGGAGATTAAAAAGCAGTTTCTTATATGTGAGACTATCCAAACCTAGGGCAATGATGCTGAAATGCAGAACAAAAATGTGGTGCCCTCCTCAAAACCCGTAACAGTTTGGAGAAGAAGCAAAACCCATCTAGTCTTCTCCAGAATGTGTGACGTGGTGCCAAATGGGAAATGATTAATTAAGATGGGGAAGGTGGGAATTTCTGTTGGGGCTGTGACAGTTGGGGGAATTGAAAGGGCAAGCGTCAGGCTGCAATGCAAGACTCCTGGAGTTTCTTGAGGACTGCCACCAAGGCCAATTTATTTTCATTAATGGCCTAGCCACAAAAATGATGAGTAGGATAATAAAATGCACTAGCATCATAAGGCCAAGAGGCATTGTCAGTATAAAGGCAGACTGGGTTATTATCCAGGAAGATGCAAGTTTGAGGCACAAAGAGCAGCATTTAGGGAATAACATCAATAATTTCTGCTGACTTCGGAGCTCATGAACAAGCAGCGACTGAAGGAGTGGAAGGACCCCATGTGCTAGTCAGTCACAAGATGACTGCAAGCCACCAGTGTGATGCAATTGTTTGAAAAGCACACATGGTCCACGGGCTTAGCAGTTCAGATCTCAGAAGAGACAGGGGAGCATGCAGTACAGCTCCAGTGTTGGAAAATCAAATAAATCTGGAGCAGGCACAGAAAAAAGTGATGAGGAGCATGGACTACTGAGGAATGGGAAGCTTATCCAAAGGAACTTGTCTCCTTTGGCTAATTGTTCTCTATAAATGCCTAGAGTGGAGGGGACCACTAGGTAGGAGAACTGCTTGAGTCAGTGTTGGCACAAGAACACAGATATAATCCTGGGTACAACCTGGCCATGAACAAACACAGGCTGGAAATTAGGAGATGGTTTCTAACACTCTGAAGAGGCAAGGATGGAACAAGCCTCCTCACAGGGGTTGGGGGAGCAAAGAAGTGGACCACTTTGTTTGGTCAGCAGATGAGGGGGCTCATGGGGCAGTTGTTTGGGACAGAGGCTGGACATCAGTCACACCCCAGGATCCTTTGGTCCTTAACGGCGGCCAAACAGAGCATTCAGTAAGAGGAGGTGAAACATAGGGCTTCATAGCACCATGTAGTAACGACAGGGGCAAATTAAGCTGGGAAGGAGGAATGGCCATCCGTTACATCTATTGCATCTTTTTAGGGATCATGAAGCACTTAAAACCTTCTAGTGACACATGTCTGTTTTACACTCTTTAAATGTGACCAGCTCTCATCCTTCCTTCCCCTCCCATAATAAAATGTTTCCTACCCTGATTTTGTCGTTCTCTGTTTTATCCTCCAAGTCCTCATCAAATTCTTTCTGGGGGTAAAACTCGATCCCATTTACTTCTAGCTCTTTGCGCACCTGGACAGAGAGACATTTTGCAGTACAAAGCAACACAAGCCTGAAGGGAAGGTAGGTGAGATGGCCAGGCAAACACATCTGGGACATCTTTACAGCAGGCAGGGGCTGGAGGGACTGTCCCCAGGGAATTGTGCAGCAAAGTGAGGACACATGGCAGCAATGATGAATCTTTCTTCCCCAACCCTGGTTACTTGTCCGGCTCTGCAGTTCCCATGATGGAGTGTACCATGAGATGTCACAGGGATTCTTCCCCCTCTAACAGATGCCCTTAGAGCCAAAACCAGCTGCATCTTCAGGACTTACCCACCAACCCAGCGTTGGACTCTGTGCATACCCAGGAAGAAGGATACCACTCATTTCTCCCACCTTCCAGCTGGGGCAGGGAAGGATCCCATGCAGGAGAGGAGGTACTCACTCTTTGTTTGAATTCAGTCTTCTCCTCCAAGGTCATGGTGTCAGCTTTGGCAATAACTGGGATGATGTTCACTACCTTGCTGAGATGTTTCATGAACTCCAGGTCCAAAGGCCGCAGGCTGCAGCCCAAAAAGGAACAACATGGAAGGGGTCACTTTACCCTCCTTGCCTTTCATCCTAATGGTTCTCCCAGCATCAGGGCATCAATGAAACCGCCCCTGTATGTAACCTACTTGCTGCCACCATGCTGTCATCTCCTTCTTCCATCCTGCTCTCTCCCAAAAAACACAGTGGTGTTTCTCCTGCCCTTGTTATGCTAGACCCTTTCAATCCCTGAAGCACCCGAAGTTAAGCTAAAGAGCAGCCAACCCCACAGGCAGGACCCCTGGGTCTGTGCCTGAGACAGAGCAGTGCAGGGTGTATATCTGGCACAGAGGCACCAAGGGCTTGAGGAAGGACAAAGGACTGTGTACGTACGAGTGGCCTGTCGGGGAGATGAAGTAGAGGCAGCAGTGCACTCGTGTGTCTGGAATTCGTTTCTTCCTTGCAATATTCACCTCCTCTTTCAAAAATTTTTCATACTGCTCGTTGATGTATTTCTCAATAGGCTCCCAGCTGTTGAGGTGGGAGAGAGAGATGAATAGACAGGTACAAATCTCCTCACGTTCCTGCCTACAGTGTTCCCAGCTCTGACAGCAGCAAAGCAGGCTCAGGCATAAAAAATATCCACCACCGGCATCTTGCCATCAGCAGAGATGTTTAAGAGTTTCTGTAACTGGGCACAGAAATAGGCACTCACTATGTAATGTGTCCATACCCCTGAGCACACACACACCCCTGTGGTGTTCACAATTCCACGCCCCTATTACTGGCCCCCTGAGTACAATAGTATCTGAGATGCTTTCCAGGCCAAGTAGATGAGAGTTGCTCCATATACCATCTTAACTCCAGCCCTTTCTGTGACACAAGGCCTTCACCATACAAAACTCACCAGTTCTCGTTGTTGATCTGGTCTCCGAATCCTGGCGTGTCGATCACTGTCAGCTTCATTTTGACACCACCTTCTTCAATGACTGGGGAAGAAATTGCAAACAATCATATGCCTCCCTGGGGACCTGCTCCATCATGAAACATGTCTCTGTGCCCTGTAAGGGAACAAGAGCAGTCTGCCCTCATCACTGCCCCGCAAGCATGACAAGGCCAGGCTGGGTCATGCCTCAACAGTTGTGAGCCACACTTGCATTTCTGACCCAAAATTTTGGTAACCTCTGCACCAAAGCCACCTTATACCACTCTGCCACAGGAAAATGGATTTGTGCTCAGTCTGTCGCCCAGACTATAGTAGTTTAGTTTATCTAAACAGGTAGTCTGTACCTACCTTACACAACTTGTCCTCCCCTCCAACACATCATCCTGAATCTGAGATGATGCTCATTACTCTGCACCACTGAAGAAGCTGTGCTGATGCTTTGCCATGAGGAGATGTGCTCTACCAGGCTTGGGATGGGACCCACCAATGAAATTTGTATAGATTATTAAGTGTCTGCAGGTGGGAATGACTTATAGCAAGGCTGAATCCACACATGCAGACTAATGTCTTAGCAGAAGAAATATCTATAACCCTTTTTCTACACCCCACTTTTGGCTGTGGCATTAGCGGCATTGCTGTTTAAGAAAAGCCTTGGCTGGGTCTGAGGCCATCTAAAACTGGTACTTATCCTTTAGCTTCCCATGGAGAAAGGGCTGCCTAATACCAAAGAGCTGTTTGCATAGACTACTGGGGTCTTCTGCAAGACTGTGCTGAAGCATCAGTATTGCCTCCACCCCAGTATCCTGGCTCTTACCGTGCCCAATGGCTTTGATCTCCACCGTCTTGGGAATCTTCTCCTCCCGGTTCCAGCCTGAAGATTTGCGGCTCACCTGGGATTTGAAGAGGGTGTTCACCAACGTCGACTTTCCCAGTCCGCTCTGACCTGAGGATTGTAAAGAGGAGGCTTGTGACATCTGACAGCAGGCCCAGGGTATGAAGCCAGGCTGGCAGGGGAAGGGGCTGTAGATGTCTCCTTGCCTTGTGCAGCCTTTCCTTTCCCAGAGAGCAAGCACTGCCTGCTACCTTATGCCCTCCCTGCAGGGCTTGCTCTCCCATCTGGCCTCATGGGACAGCCCCTGACCATTGTTCCCAGTACTTCAGCTGCTCCCTGCCTACCTACAACCATGATGTTGAAGTCGAAACCCGTCTTCATGGTTTTCTTGCGCATCTGCTCAATGATGGTGTCAATACCAATGTAGCCCAGCAAGTTGGCGTTAATGCCCATGGGTTTCATCGGTACCACTGGTTTTTGTCGTGGCTCTGGGACCAGCTCAGACATGGCTGCTTCGTTTTTGCTCTCCACTGGCCCTGCAGGGGGGAAAGATTGAAAATTCATCATTGAGCTGTAATAAGGACCTCCCTGCTGACCTGTCACAGGGGCTGAGAGCAGCTTTAAGCATCCATTTCAAGGGCTACTGAGGATGACTGAATGGCAAAATTTTAGTAGTAAGGCTCTTCATGGAGGAACATCCACTTGAGTTTCCAGCACACTCTTCTATGTATCACTCCAGATGAGAAGGTGGCAAAATGGGGTTCGTTGAGCATGCAATGTATTGATGGCTACCTCCAAACAGCAGGAGCAGACCCAGTGAAGCTGGCTGGGCTCCTAATCAGGTGCCCAAAGTTCTGTGTGTGTCTCCTCATTTTTGTCTCCCAGTTCTCACCAGGATCACCACCATTTGCCCCTCCAAGTTTCGCATGAAAGTTGTGATGCGGGAGACTTTCAAAAATTATCATGTGCCAAATCCCAGCATTGAAAGAGAATGTGGGATTTACTCTGAGGACTTGCAAGCTCAGCCCTTGCCAGGGGCGGCTGCATTACAGGCTGTGCTGTGCAGGCTGAGCTCCTCAGAGGAAGGCAGTGGTGGAAGCACAAAGCACGGCCACAACCTCTGCGCTTGCCTCCTGCCCATAGATGGATGGGTTTTGTCATGCTCAAGAAACTAATCATCGTGATCAATAAACTAATCATCTGCACTTTTCCCTCCTCACCTCCCCCTCCTCGCTTCTTCTATGTAAAACAAACAGGCAAAAAGAAAGACCCTGCAGACTTTCTGGCCTCCCTGACTCTTTTTTTAGGTGATGGCACACACTGCTGGGGCAGGCCTTGTCCATTTATCTCTGTCTCTTGTCTCATTAGTGAGCAGCTCCCACCCGCTGGGAGGAAGCCGGAGGTTGGGAGAGGACAAGGCACAGAAGAAAAGCTGTAATTGCTGGGGAAGGGAGGTGTGAAGGATGAATCTAGAAAGGAAGATGAAGAGGATGGGAATCAAATACCTTTCATATACAAACCAGCTGCAAAATAGAGCCTCTCCCACTCTAATTACTTGACTCCCCCATGCTTTGTCTCATTAGATGATTATTTTTCCAGGACAGGGATAGCATGTGTTTTTGCTTGGTAAGCACTCCGCTTGTTTTGGATGCTGCTTCAGTTCAAGTATCTCACACTAAATTATCCCTTTCCATCATTTTGGTGGAGTTTTTAACTCCACCAGAACCTGCTGGCTGCAGAGGAGGACATGAGCGGCCAGGGAGGTGACTGTCATTTGGTGGGTGACACATGCCTCTTGGAGAGGAAGATGACTCAGAGATCACTGGGCTGGGGATGCTGATAGCACCAGTCTGGGCTCCCTGTGACAGCTCAGCCAGAGGTCAGAGAGATTTTGTTCAAGGACAAGGTTGGGCTGCAACAGGCTGCCTGGCTGGCTGGTCATCCTGGCTGCCTGGTCACCCTGCCTGCCATTCCCACATCAAAGCTCCTGTGCAGACACAAGGTCTGCTCTACACAGTGAAGATTTTATGTTTTATATAAGCTTTAGTATCCCACTACCATATACTGAGGGCAGACCATGTGGAAGTGCCACCCTTTGGAGAAGGTGTCTCCACCTAGCTCCTTTTACACCACTTGGGAAGTCTTTTATGTTAAAACTGGAAGAAGGGATCTTCCCTTCGTGTGAGAGGATGGTAGCACAGCCACCAATGTGGGTAAAGTCTGAAGGTTCTCCTACCACCTCCGTTCCACCTTGCCAGCAGAAGAGAGGTCTGCTGGAGGATGGCCCCACCTCCTGCTCTTCCCCACTGAGTGATGGCACTCTGAACTATCATCATCCTCTCCTGAAGCAGCGAGCAGCACCCTGGGGGGACCAGAGCACAAGATGGACCATTGGCTTGAGCCAGGCTGGCAATTCGGAGCACCTCATGCTGCCGGGCAGCTGCCGGAGGAGGCAGTCTGCCGAGCTGAGCGCTTCTCAGCTGCAATCTGCCCTGGGGCTCCTGTTGTCTTTTTCCAGCTTTCTTAAAGCTGCTGCCAGCCAGGAAAGTCCATCTCTCTGGCACAGCACAGAGGGACAAGCCACCCAGCTCTCCTGCACCCTGCCCTTCGCTCGCCCTCTCCCAGGCTGCCCTGTGCCACCTGTACATAGTCGTGTGGCTGTGCTGTGCCCCTTATCCTGCTGCAGCATCCTCCAATGAGCACCCCACACAGCCCCGCTGGGGTCCCACCTACCCCAAAGACAGGGAAAAGGGAGAGTGAGACAGGAAATGGTGAGGGCACGTGGGGCAAGTAGCAGTGGCCCCAGTGAGGCACTTGGCTACTGCAGTAATGGAGGCAAATACACCCTGGAGGTCGACAGGGAACAGGCCGAGGTGGGAGGAAAGCCCAGCTGAGCAGCTGCATGGGGTGGGTGTAGGACCTGGGCCATGTGGGCTGCAACCCCTTTGCTGCCTGGGCAGTAGCTTGTCCTCTGGGAATCTGTTGCCTTCTCCTTTATGCCTTCAACTTCTTCAACAGGGAGGAGGAAGGAGAGAAGTTGCTGGCAACCAACCTCAGGGTTCACTAAGAGGTTCATAACTCGTCCCTCAGTCTCACCAAGGGATGCTTTGCTCAGAGCTGGCAGATGTTGCTAACTCTGCTGTGGGCATCAAAATATGTGGCCATCCATTTGCAGGCTTTGCTGCTGGAGCCAGGAGCTTGCAGTGGCTGGAGCAGATATTTCGGAGTCAGGTCCCTGAGCACCTATAAAAAGCCCTGAGACCAGGACAAAAGATCTCAAGAAGTCTCCTTAAATATTTTCTGGATTTTATATCAGTGTTGTTACCCTGGGCATTTCGATTTTGGACATTCAAGGTCCCGGGGTAGACAACATCCCTTTCTCCTCTCGGCCACTTGTGCCTTCCTCTCTGTGTGGGGTGCTTTCCCATACAGCCTCAGAAAGGGACGCCCCCATTTTGCAAAGAGGTACCCAAGAGCTCAGCTTTCTGCACAGGATTTTCCACCTCTTGACTCCCATGGAGGAATCCAAGGACCCAGGTGATGAACAGCCTGCTGGTGAGGTCAGGGTGTGCAAAACCGGGGCCAGAGCTATGAGAGGCACCTTGAGAAATGAAACGTGTCTACCTGGTCTCCTGGGAATGGCTCTGTTTCACATGCGGTAATGCTAATGCTGATAGGAAGCATCATTAGTGCTCTGACTGACTGGTCAAGGGGCAGCATTATGCATCCTAGGCACATCCCATAGCCCCTCCAGCTGTCCCCTGTAATGAATACATGATCAGGCACTACAGCCAGTACAGCTGACAATGAATAGAGGGTTAGCCAAGGTTAACCACTTACATCCGCTGTTTGCATTGCCACCCTTTTTCCTGCCGCTTTGTTCTCTGTGCTAAGCGAAGCTCATTTAAGAGAGCAGTTGCTGGTGATACCTCTGCTGCCTGGTTCCTGGTGGGAAGTGGCCTGGGCTGGGCTGCCAGGGTATGTCTGGCTCACAGGAGGGGCTCCACTCGGCTCCGGAGCATGGAGAGGTGCAGCATCTGGGGCTGGGGCAGGCAAGGCCAGAAGGGCAACGGGTGCCCAGAGAGGTCCCAGCAGTCCCAGCTAGCTCCTGCTTCTGACACCCACCAATTCACCCCAAAACCTCTCCCTGGAAGGCTGGCATACATGGCCAGCAGCAGACACCACTACCGCAGCACACCCTTCATGTCCGCCTGCCTTTGATGTTCACAGCAGCTAGCTGGGGACAGAGGTGGCCCTGCAGGTCCCTTAGGGGCTCAGGTAGTGGGGACTAACATCTACTCTGTCCCAATAACCCAGATACAGTAGCATCCCCTCCCCCTGCCTTCCCATCCTTTGTCTGAGCGGCAAGAGGGAGGGAGGGCTGCAAACAGTCGCTCACCACAAAACAGCTTCCAGCAAGGAAAGGCTATTTAACCCCCACATAACATATGGACAGCCTCCCTGTGGCTCTCCTCCCGTGTGGCACAAGGCCGTCCCACTCTGGCTGGAGGCAGAGATACACAGACACATCTCACCCCAGCCTCTTTGACCCGCATGGCCCCGGACCCACAGTCCCACTCCCCTCAGACACCGGATGGGGAGGAGGGATGGGTTCGGAGCCTGAAGGTGGCTGGCAGGAGCAGGGCCTCGGTGGGTGACGCCAGGTCCCTAGGAAGGAAAGCAAGCAGCTGCTTCCGTAGCACAGCCTCCCTGGGGCTTGCAGGCATTAGGATCTGGTCCTTGTTTCAGATCCGCAGAGGTGCTGAACTGAGCATCTCTGCACTGGAAAAAATCCCTTTCCCCTCCATTTTCATGATGACCTCAGGGCGTTTCTCCCAGCTGTGCGGGGCAAAGGCCAAGCCATGCCGGATGCACCGCCTGACCTCAGGGTGCAGAACAGAGCCATTCTCCTTACCAGATCTTTTTGTTTGGTTTGAGGATCGTCAGGCATTTTGAGTGAGGCAGGGAAACTCATCCCAGCCCTTTGAGCTGCCGCAGCCTTCCCGGCAGCAGCCTTCCTTCCCCTCAGCGTTCTGTAGAGGGCTGGGGCAGCAGCCCAGCTCTGCCGGGGCTGCAGTGAAAACTAGGGCAGCGTGTGCCGAAGCCTCTCTGGAGATGCAGGAGCTGGAGGTGAAGGGGCTGGGCATGATGTCCCCAGCCCAGCCACTGCATGGTTAGATACTCACCTCAGCCCCAGCCATACGCTCAGCGCCGCTCCCCGGCCATGCAGTCCTTACCCCATACCCTGGCTCGCTGCCTGGGCAGCACAGCTGTGTCACAAAGCGAGAAGATGCTGAGCACCCCTGGACCAGGGTACCCATGCCACCCAGCTGCCTGTCCCCTGCCCGCCTGCCCACCGGCTCCTGCACAGATGCCCAGGGAGCAGCATAGGATGTCCCTGCTGCCCCCGCAGGGACTGCCTGTCACTGGCAAGGGACAAGCCAGTTGCCGAGCAGCTTGTGGGCTTTCCCCAGCCCTGGACCAGCTGGAATTATCTCTTTCTTTCAGAGCAGCCCCTGGTGCCAGCTACTCCCCATCAGCACTACAACCAGCCCTGCTCGTTCTCCTTCATGCCAGACTGCTGCCACCGAAAGGGAAAAAAAGAGGAAAGACAAAGCCAGGACGGATTTCCCCCGCTGCCCTTCTGCATTATTCCTCCCCCGTGGCCAGAGCTGGGTGGTGTGGGGGCACGGCAGAGGGTGCCTGCACGAAAAGCCCCAGCAGCGTCCCTCCAGCATCGCCCAGCCCTGCAAAGCCCAGAGCATCCTACCTTTGAACATGAAGCTTCCTTTGTCTCCAAATCCTCTCCCAAGGGGGTGGGTTTCCCCCGAGTTTTCTAGCCTGATGCCGACACAGTGCGGTGGGCTACAAGGCTCCGCTTTTCTCTCTCTCTTTCTTCCCTGTGTCCTCTTCTCCCCCCCTCTCCTTCCCCTCCTTCTCCAGTGGCTATTTCAGCGGAGCGGGGATGCTGGTGCTGCTCTTGCTGCCATCGTCATGTGACCTGAATATTAAGCATCGCCGCAAAATCTCCCCCCTGCGCACCCTCCCCCGGCTCCCTCCCAGGCCCCCGCCAGCCTCCCTGCCTGGGTGGGCACAGCCGTGGGGGTGGGGGGGCCACCGCTGATGCGCACCCAGTGTCCCAGAGGGGCCCCCCTTGCACACCCACAACACACAGGTCTTTTCTTCCCCCTTTCCCTCCCATTTTCCCAGCAGTTTCAGCATCTCTGCTTGTTTAGGGAGGGGGATATTTAACCCTTCGAGGCTTCGCCGCCAGCCTCCCTGCCTGGGTGGGCACAGCCGTGGGGGTGGGGGGGCCACCGCTGATGCGCACCCAGTGTCCCAGAGGGGCCCCCCTTGCACACCCACAACACACAGGTCTTTTCTTCCCCCTTTCCCTCCCATTTTCCCAGCAGTTTCAGCATCTCTGCTTGTTTAGGGAGGGGGATATTTAACCCTTCGAGGCTTCGCTGCAGCAGGGCTGAGAAAGGGCACTCTCTTCCCCTAGGTGTTTACTGGGTTCAGGGGACTGCAAGGCCTCCTTCTGCTTTCCTGGAGAGAGGAAATTGGGAATGTTTTGGCTCATCAAAAGCAATTTGCCCTTCAGCTCCGCTTGCGGAGGCGTGAGAAACCTTTTCTCCTCCGGCACCACAATTCCTGGCTGTCAGCCCACAGTGCAGAGGCAGAGGCAAGCACGGTTCCCGCTCTGTGTGTGTGTACGTACATGTGTGCATGTGTCTGTACGTACATGTGTGTGCACGCATGTGGCGAGCAGGGAGGGGTCCCATCTGCGGGGCCATGTCAGGGTGCATAGATCACATCCCCACATGCACCAGCAGGTGTCTGTGCCTGGCGGTGCCCTCCTGGATGTGTCTGGTGGCTGTGTCCATGCCCGGAGAGCTGTGCAGATGCCCCTGGCTGCCGGTGCCTTTGGAAGGGGATGCCCCTTCCTCCCTCTGCGTTTCCTTCTCCTACAGTTGTGAGCCCCAGCCCCATCGCACACCATGGCCCTGCCACGCCATGCTGGAGCACCAACATCTGGGACTGCTCTGGCCCTCTGATGTCCTTTCAGAGATGTCCTCATGTGTCCTTCCACCGTGTGGCAGCCCCCTGGGTGGGGGCCAGCCTGCGGGATGCCTGGCACACTGGGCAAGGGTTTTGGGTGCCTCTTTTTGGAGTGCCCCTGGGCAAAAAGGAAACTGCACCTGCTGCGGGTAACAGGAGTATTTAGAAATCACCGTCAGCACTGAAAAGTTACCCAGGCCAGGCTGAGCGGTCCAACAGGACCTCTGGATAGATGGGCAGGCAGACAGACAGGCATCCCAGCACCCACAGCAGCTCCTGACATGGCTCCCACAGCCACCCGTTTCCCCGCCGGGTGCTGGGCTCACCATGCTATAGGCTCACCTCCCACCTGCCTCCACCAACCTGCGCTCCCGCCGCGGGGCAACGGGGAA